ATAAGTCAATTGTTATTTTATTAATATAAATACCTACTGTTTTTAATGTATATTTCAGTATAACTATAGTACAAGAAACTATTAACTGTTGCTTAAAATTCAAAATTTAAAAAATTTCTTTAAATTATTTATGTTTCTAATTGAAGTTATAAAATATGACAGTCAGTATCTAATATTAAATATTCATAAAATGCAATATAAATAAATAGATAAATAATGAATACAATAAATAAAAAGGTATACCTATTATAATAGATACCTACTCAATCTACAACCAAACCTAATTATCTAGATGAATTTAATATTAAATATACAAACTTAGAATTAAATATTTTTCCAACCCACTAAATTGTTATAAAGTTGTAGATAAAAACAAAAAATTAATGAAAATATTAAATAAACATCATTTAAATAATGGTACATTTAATTAGCATTATAAAGTCTGTTATTTATAAGAAATCAACCATATTATGAGCCACACTTTTCACACTACACACAAATTTATACTAATATGGTTTAGAAAATATTTATGGTTACAAATGATCAATTAGCGTGTTTTTCTTATTTAACATTGATTAGTTAGTGAAACTAATTAAAATAGTTCATATCACATTTATGATTTATAATTGGTAAATATATCAGTAAAAAATAACCTTCAACTACCATATTGACAAAATATAATAACAAAAGCAATGACTAATCAAAACATAATTATATTTCTTACCTAAACAGCAAGTTGGGCGGAATTATCTTAATTCAAATTAAACACCAACATATTTCTTATATTAATTCAGTCATTGGCAAGTAAAAAATAATATATTACAGTAAGTAATATATAAATAAATTATAATAATGCACTTTAAAAATATAATTAACACTAATAGAAAAATACAACAAAATGTAATAACAACAATAAACAATAAATAAAAACAAAATAAATATTTAAACAACAATATAGGTACTATTAAATAATAAATAATATTAGGTACGGGGTACCCAGTCGAGTGGCCAGAACCCACATATGGTTATCACTTATCATTAATTGTTCACGGTTTGTTTTATCAATAACTGTAATAAACATTCGAACAGTGTAGACATAAAAAATAACATTTCATAAAATATAATACTTACATAATAAATCTTTTTTTAAATAATATATTAATATATTATTGTGTAGTAATGATAATAATTATTAGATACCGCCTACTAATTGCCTAAGAATTAATAAGTAGTAAATACTAAATACCAACTAGTAACTATTTAATATTAAATAAAATGCACGATTTAAAAATGTAAGATGAGTACTTGATGATTAATATCTATACGGCTATACCTTAAATCTAGGTAAATGGTAATAAGTTTCAATTATTCAATTAATGTTTCTAAGTCCTAAGGGAAGGGCAAAATTAAAATGGTACCCAGACTAGTGGTAGCCACTATAACGGCACTATAGCCAGTCACACTTTGCTCACATCGGAGCTAATGTTGGTGTTCGCCAATTTTGCATATTAATATTTAACTATGTATGATCTGTCATAAAAACGCATCGTTAAAATATTGTTTGTTCATTATTGTTTATCAGTAGATAATAATTTTTGCAAACTAATAGTTATTGGTACAATAGGTGCTTATACATTATCCATACGCTCGAGAATATTGGTATACAAGTACCTACCTATTCAAATATAGTTTTTTAAGTATCAAATACCTACTAATAACTATCAATGAACGATTATTTATTTGAATACATTTTAAATAAGTTAGATCAGGTTAGGATAAACTTTCCTTCAAATAATTTTTTTTTCCGAACAATGTTTTTGAAATGTAATAAACATTAACCTATACCTATGATACAATAATTTATACCTACATTGATACGTACATAATAATTTAAATTTATCTTAAATAAATAACAAAACTTTCATCAGTAAAATGTATTTATATTGATGATTATTTTAAATTTTAATATACATAAATAATTGATTAATAAATATTTTAATAGATTGTATTGCTTATTAATAAAAAATAAGGTATAACAATATTTACAACAAATTAGTACTACAATTAATGATCATTTTTAAGTAACTACTTCTTCGTAAATAATTATTTAGATTTAATACCTAGTCAAGATCCACATATTAAGCTTTACTTATATTTAAAATTAGGAAATAATTATTTGATAAAAGTAGGTATTTGCAATTTTTTTAAAATACTTTTTTAAGTACCTATTTTATTATAAAAAAATAAATACTTTTTACGACACTACCGCTTAAGTATGTAATAACTAATATAATTATACGTATATTTATATCTGAATAAGTATATTTTTAAGAATAATAACCTTGTAGAGTGTTTTATATGCCCTATGGTTATAAAATCCGTTTACGATAAGATAGTTATAAGTAGGTATGAATTAATTAAAAATTACTTAAGGTCTAAGATATGGAATATAACATAATAGCACAATAAACATTATGACTAGGTATCTAAACTATTAACCACTTTCTTGTTTCATAAAAATACTCTCAATCTTAATATTTAGATAAATACATACTGATTTATTTTTTTTAAGTTACAGACTATGTTAATACAATTATACACTTCAATTGAAAATATGATTTATATTTATACGTATAATTATAATTTATAGAAGTATCGACTATCAGCAATATTTTGAATATACCTTACATCGGATTTTCTAAAATATTTGTATACAGATTCGATTTTTTTATGAATTTTGATAATACTTCAATTTTAAATTAAAGTGGAATCTTTATTTAACGAACTTGAAGGCTCTTTGATAAAAAATCGTTAAGTAGAAATTTAATTAAATATACATAAATATATTTTTTTTTACTTAAATAACTCATTTTAAATGTACGAAATGTATGTGAATAATAATATTTAATAATTAATATATATAAATACAACAGTACAACTGATTTTTTTATTGATAGATTGAATCTTACATACAATATCGATAACAATAATCTAAGATACCTACTATTGTACTTATCTAATCTAAGATAATGAAATTTAAAAAGTTATGATTACACACTTGCGCTCAATTGTGTGTAATATGTATATTTTTATGTATTATAATTTATAATTGACGAGTACCTATGTACTTTATAAGTATTATTTATTTTTTTATTTTTTTTTATTTCAGCTTTCATACCTGCAAACAATTTTGCGGCCATCTTTCTCTATTATCTGCAACTTCTCTCCATTTTACTAGTTTTATATTTGATTTTAACATGCTTTAACATCGTTTTTGATACGATCCTCCAATCGTAAACACTGTCTGCCTAACGGTCTTCCCAATCGGGTTTTCTCTAATAACTGTTTTAATAAAAAAGTCCTCTTTTCTCCAAGCATGCACAGTCAACATTAATCTTTTTTTCGTAATTTATTTTATTCATAATAATGGACTTAAAATCCAAATCTTAAAGTCTAAACAAAATATATACCTAGCAGTTGATATAACAGAAATTTAAATATAATATAAAAAGATAAAGAGAGAAAAAAACTAATACATTGATAATCTTATGGAATAAAACAATGATACAACAGACAATATAGGTAATTAAATTTTTGAATATGATAATTGAATTATCATATAAGAAAAAGGGAAAAAACAAGAAACAAATTTTTACAAGAGGAAATTTATTTTTTTATCTGATTTTCATAATAATATCTACTAATAATATATTACAATACCTATACAATGGAGTATAAACTATTATATTAAATATTAATATATGGTTGTAATTAAACACAATTTTTATTTATTTATTCTATTGAAATAATTAATTATGCCAAATGTTTTTTTTTTTTTTTTTATTATTATTTCTTCTTTATGATTTGATTAGTTGGCTTTTATCATTCATAATATTATAAACAGTAAAGAGTAAACACAATTTTATTTGTGATACAATATTACATTTTATTTTAATTTATAGCTTATTTAGTCAGTATCTATAGGTAGGTATACTATATTTCTGTTTAGAAGTTCAAAATGTTGTATCTTGTTAAATTTGGAGACAGTGGATACAAATTTGTAACTATGCACAAATACTGACTTTTAAGCATTATTGGAAAATACGAAATTGGTTCTCGGAACAAAATAATAATTTATCAATAAAAATTACTAATTATCATTATACAAATTAATTGATTCCCTTATATATAAATAGGTAATATAATGAATATCTGATAATTGTCATTTTTCACCTGCAAATATGTGGGCATAATTTCATCTACTTATTGAACAAACTACATAAAATTTCAATTAATTTGATGAAAAAATTATAATACAGAATTTTATTTTATCCATCCAAATATATTTCTATTAATTGAAAAATAGATCAACTTAATCAAAAAATAAATAAAAAAATAGTTAAAAATAAAAGTTAATTAGTTAAAGAATATAATTTAATTATTTTATTTTATTTTATTTCATTTATAATTTTTTAATTTTCCTATAACTCTGATTATTTTTCTAATTTTCCGAAAACTTTGGTTTTTTCGGAAATGTATTATTTTAATATTCTTTAATTTTCCCATATTTTCAGAAGCTCTGGTGAAAAAACGGTTTTTCCGATTTTTTTCCGGCATTTTGATCCCTAGTTATATATTATAGAATACTGCATCACTAATGATGTACTGATGTGGTCATCGAACGTTCAAAAAACTTCTTTATGATTTTAACTTATTTATTTTTATACTGGGTATATAGATTCTATTTTTTCTCAATTCAGAACTAAATAGAGCTTTAATACATAGACAAAGGTGTCTATAACTCAAGTTACTTGGCTATTTTTTTTATCAATTCGAACATAATACAAAAAGTACGAACAATAAATACATGCGCCCCTCTCCGGTGGTGACAGGTCTTTGCGTTTTATAAATAGATCGACAATAACAAGTAACTTTATTAACTATTTTAGTGGTAGAAAATAAAACCAAAGTCGGCGAGAAGGTTGGCAGGTCTATATAACTATATGTATGTACCTACTATATAGGCATGTAATATAGGTGAATGTTTTCAAAACATACAAGCCATACATTATATACCGTCTACTAACCACTAATCAACGTGACGCCGTTTGATCCGCTACTCTGATAACTAGAAAAAAAATTAATTGTCCATAGTATAATATTTTTTATATAATATGTATCTCTTACCACCAAACGAGACCCAACTTGAATACATAAAGAATGAAGATTTTTATCAACCGTTATACAAACTCGAAGAAGATGTCACTCAACTCATGGAATGGTTGACCAAACAACCACATTTACCTAATATTACTGGTGAGTTAATGTAACTTAGTTTAAGTTATTTATTAATTAATATTATTAAAATAGGCCGAAGGCTACAAAACAATAGACACAATAATATGGTTTATCTATGAAAAAGTATTCATTATATTTGTCTTAACGAATAAAGAAAATAATATTTATGCTAAAACTAAGAATTATCGCAACACTTATTTTAGTGTGCAGTACAAAAATACAAATGTCAAGTTCCTATACGACTATACAAATATGAAGCTTAAATAAAATCAAGGCGTTTAAACTTTCTAAAATGTATTTATAATTTAGTATTTCTGCACATATTAAGCTTCATTATTAAACAAAAAAAAAAAAAAAACGTGCATTACGGTTTTTGTTAACAGGAACTGAATCATCGCGTTTCAGCATTAATCTTACAGTTAAATATACAAAGGCGGAACAAAAAAATGAAACTCTATAACTCTAAACATTTAATTTAAGGAAATGTTGTAATTTTTATACACTTAGGTTATAGTCACTATTCAGTATTCACAAAAAACTAAGAAAAACAATTATCAAGATATACATTTTTCAATATCTTAGGCTTTAAAATGTAAAGAATATCTTAACCTAACGCATAATAATATACATTAAACATGCATAAAATTTGTACTACAGTAGAATCTCGGTAATCCGACACATATCAGACCACGCTACTGCCGGATTAACGAAAACGCCGGATTAGTGGGGAGTTCACAAAAAAATGCATTTTTTCTTATTGAATTTTACATTTTTACTCGTATTAAAAAATGATTTAAAAATCTTTTAGGTTAAGAGCAGTTTTCTTTTCATTTATTAGGATTAGATCTGTTATTACTTAGTTTTATCTAACGGTTTATCGTTTACGATAGTAAATTTATATATAAATACATATTGGTACATTAGGTTAATACAGCCGGATTATTGGACGTATATGATTATCGAACAGCCGGATTACCGAGATTCTACTGTATATTATTATTCACTATTTTTTTTATGCATAACTAAAATAATTTACATATTTAATCATTTTTTTCAAATCATCAAAATAGGTTAAAATTAATTAATTAGGAGTAGTATTGTGCAAACAGATCCTTCTCTGCTGTCGGTTCAAACCAGAAAAAATATGTTACAATTAATTATGCTGAACAATTTTAAATTAATAATAATATTTTAAGTGACTTAGTAAATCACAACAAAGTAATTACAAATTACAAAAACAATTATAAAGAACTCGTGCTCAGAAACAAGCACCAAACGATCAATAAATGCATCAGTATTTGATGATTATGTATATCATCTCATTATCATATAATATTATGTAGATTACCATAGATATAGTATAGACTTATAGAAGGGACTATGCAATAAGATGCCACCTGTGACCTGTATGACCTGTTTATCATTTGAATAGATATAGTCATAAATCATAATGTATTCTATCTTTAGTATCTTTACATGTAATACGAAATGCCCACGTTATTGAAGCACTGAAGTGGGATACCTTGAACTCCAGACACTTGACAGTTTCCGGGGTAATATATAGTTTCGCAGAAATAAAAACGAACTCAACTGGATTTGAAATAATTGTAAATATAAATTTCAAGTCTGCATTTTCCAAGGGCGTTAGATTAAATACCGCAATAATTTTGCCTACTATGTATTCGTGGTTAGACGAAATTAGATATAAGTTTTGTTTTTTTTTTTTTTTTGATTACGTATATTTGTACTTTTTTTATACCTAGTTGGCTACTGATAATTTTATCGATTAAACTTCGTCAACCAGCGATGTTAAATCATCATAGCATCAAAGAACTGTTTTTGTATTTCGATTTCTTATAACTTATAAGCAATAATATTATATTACTATAATAGCATTTTCATAATCTAATTTTTTTTTTTTTTTAGTTATGGAGGTACCGCTATCTAGTTAAATTACAATAATTAAAATTCAAAATACATCATTATTCATTACATTACTTATTATAATAACTATAACTAATAACGTATTATTTTTATTATAACCACTACATTAAAAAAAATATACATATAATATACTATTGCAACAATATCGTATTCTTTAGATTTTGAACTAGTTATATATACACTAATTGTCACTGCAGTAACAAACATGAAACACGTTTTACAGGATTATATTTCCTTGTTTAAAAAGTAAGTACTTAGGTATACTTTTAAGCTATATATGTATATATCTATGCCTATAGCTTTCTGCATAAAGTATTTCTTCTAATTAATATAAACAAAGATAATCTTGATAAAATGACAATAATAACAATAAGTATACCATGATGCTACTTTATTTCCACATCGGTGCAATAAACATAAGTATACATATATTAAATTATTATTATTATTATTACTATTTATACATAAATATAAATATACTGAGATAATATATTTTACAATTATAAACGGGTTTTAAATCGTTTTGGAAATTATAACAAATGACAAAATTGTATAACTATTTAATTAAACTTAAAGTGAAAATAAACAATAAACATTGTATTAATTAAATCATTATGGTTTGATTAATTAACAATATATATTTGTTTATCGTAGTACAGTGATGGGGTATATAATACCTATAGGGTATAAAATTTTACGTTTGTATGTTAGTATTATTTGAATACAGAATTAAATTTATGTTTAGACATACGATAATAGACCATATTATCCAGTTTATCTTACATATTCAAATATTATTAGAGTGTTGAGTGGGTGTTTTACCTGTGCCATGAGTTTTTGTCTATTACAATATATTTTGCCTGAATGATATATTTCAACTTCTCATCTAAGAAATAACCAATTATTGTCAAAATTAGTTGACGGAAAAAAGTGATTTCCGGAACTGAACAAGAACTAAGGTCGACGGCAATATTTATAATGTATATATAAGTACTTGTAGTTTATACTGCCATACCTGTGTAATAGAATAGTACTTACCTACTTTACAAATTACAACGACAATTTTTTCACGAATCTTATATTATATATGAATACCTTGAGACTTGAGTGATGACTTGTGGATTCATATGTATATATCTACTACAATTTAATAGAATATCCGGTTAGCAAATTAAAACCATAAATAGTTTTATTATTCTTGTAATACCTATAGTCTATACGTATCTTGATTGTTATACTATGTTAAATGAGTAAATTAGTTTATATTATGATTTATGGTTAATTATTACGTATGAACTATAAATCAATGAATCATTTTTAAGCCTAAATTTTTAACAATACGCATAAACATCCAAAATCACTATAGGCCGTTATATTATTGACAGCAAATTTGAGTTTTGACATGTGCGATGTGACTATTTTACATTTTTAACTAACTACTAACTACTTTAGTAATAAAAATATATAATTCTATATATTTCAATTAATTATAGTTATACAATGTTTATATTAATTTATTAATTTATTATTTATACATACAGATGACCTTATAAGAAATATGTATACTATATGTATAGGTATTAGGTAGCTATATTTATAAAGGTGTCCCTGGATCCATTTTTATAGAGACAATATAAGGAAAAGAATTAAAACTAAAAGTTTAAACTTGGTCTTAGCATATTATAAAATGTATTTATTTTTAAATTATAAATAATATTCTTTTATAATATTCGTGTTACTATTAATTATAGTATAATAATTATAAACTTATAATCTAAAAATATTTATAACTTGTTTAAAAATTATAAAATTAAAAAACCTAAAGGGCCCTAAATAATACTCTTGCCTTTAAATTTTATAACAGCTTTATTATTACTCTAATAAAACACAAAAAAAAACTTCAAGTTATAGAATTGTCCATTCCCCTCCCCATTTTGAAGACGTTTCTGAACATCTACCTACCAATATTAACATAATACCTAACTAGTAAGTCGTTACATTAAATAATAATACTATATAAATTAAAACTGCTATAATTTTTTGTACCTATACTTACTAGCTCTAATTCTAATAGTCATAATATAATTTATAATAACGATGTAATTAAACAGAAGATAGAAACTATCTTAAAAATAAGATTAAAAAAGTGTATTAGCTATTTGTATATAAAGTATAATGATATTAATAATAATAATTTTTATAACAAATGTATAACATTGTTTAAAAAAAAAACTATATCTAATCATACCTATGTATTTAAATTGCAGATAGAAAATGGTTAGCACATTTTATAACAGGATGCAAGTATAGTTTACAAAGATCAAAACAAGTTATTGATTCATATTTCGTAGCACGAGCAGAATTTCCAGAATTTTTTGGCTCTTTTACTAAAGAACAACTAAAAGAAGCTTCTAAACAAGGGTAACAACTAACTAATTGTCTAAATATTTATTTAATAAATTTTAATATTTAAAATTATTAATTTACCATAAGTTATTTTATCTGTTGATTAGAATTCAGAATTAGAATGTTGGTTTATGCACATATAAATGCTAAACGAAGAATTTTTAGTTTAAGAACACATGCAATACATTAAAATAAAACTAATAGGTATTAGTTACTACTATTACCAATTCAACTAATAGGAGTTTTAAATGTTGTAACTATTGGAGAACTTTTTTTAAACTATCAATAGGTTGATGTTTATACTTGAATCAAATGTTATAAATGAGATGCCAGAAAATAATGAGCATAAAATATAATACAAATTCACAATTTGTTTTTTCATTTTCGGGCCACAATCACCTGTTGATATTTTTGTAAAAAACCTAATAATTCTTTTATTTTAGAGTATAAGGTGTTTGTAAATTTGTTTTAAACAAGGTATCAAGTTTAGTGAAATGTCACTCTACCTTTTAATGTAATTATTTATTTGATTTTCGAATAATTTACAAAAAAAGCCTCAAAAATCCGTTTTTTTTTTTATGAAAACCACACTTGTTGCGAAATCTAAATAAAGGAATAAGTTTTGAATTTCCAAACTTCATATTCGCCATTAGAGATCAGGGGCGTCATTTCAAGTTTTTTTTTGGTGTGCGAGGTTTCAAGCAGGCCATTTCGAAATTTCACCAGGTCATATGAAACACGAAATACGTATATATTATTATGAATATTAAGTACCTACATAATCCTGCTTTCAATTATTTTCATATATCACATGTACTGAATTATTGTATCAATATAAATAGAAATAATCAATTTAAAAACTAAAATATAATAAATAATTAACAATCATAATAATTAATAGTATACCAATATTGATAAATGTCAAAATTAAAATTAAAATATCATTTAAGAAGATTTAATTTTAAACATTATCTGAGCAGGGCACAAGCCAATTAGGTAGTACTATTTTGAAAATATGTTGCATTATTAGTTTTTATTATTTGAATTAAAATATATTTCCGATATAAAACTGATATATATGCTGCTATTAAAAACTATATGTATATATTGTATATTTGTATAGTGTTGAAATACATAATATTCGTTTCTGTGACACAGTTTGTTATTACTTATTATAAATAAAAACTACCTAGTACCTATGTAAAATAATATATTCTGTTCAAAAAGACGTATTAAGTGTACATTTATCGTAAAACTATATTAACATATACAATACTATAAGATCATACAGAATATAGTATGCCCAACGTCTAAATCTGATCACCGTCCGCTACTGCCTGCTCGGTGATTCTGTTGATTTCAACCAAACCACTTGCAAATGTTCAGTCCGAAAAAGAATGCAGTAATTTTCCCGGGTCAATCATAAGACAATATAGATCAATGCCTAATATTGCAGTAACATCTAGTATGGGTGATGTATTAGAGATCCGATCATCGTCTTCGCCATCGATATGGCAGGTTTGTGCGGGTCTGGTCAAACCGGACGTGGCAATGGGCGACTATAACGGTCCGTCGAAAAAAATATGGAGTTCAATACCGAACGGCGAACATTCACATGGCGCTTGATGTAACGGAAGCAACCGAATTTGAGTGCATTCTTTTGCAAGTTTTGGCTGAGATTGAAAACGAAACATCATTGCAGGCTTGTGTGCACACTTTTTTAGATCCTGCAATAACTAGTTGCAGTGCTGGAACAGAGCCCGCAATAACAATGGTCGAATTTAAAAAACGCCGTTCATTGTGGAAAAGGACGAAACAATTTGTCCATTTTGTTTTGCTACGCAAAAAAATAATATAATTTATAATATCCAAACTTATGATTGCGATTTTAAGTTAAAATAAAAAACAAGTATCTACCTATTTAATATATTGGGATATAGTTATTGAAAATGGTATTGATTTACACAAATAAAATATGTTTTGTTATGTTATTTTATTATTTGATTGATTTTTATTTGATGTATTATTATTAAATAAGACCAACGTGCATTTGTAAAAATGTCGACTTTATATTATTATATAGATAGTACTTTCTGTATTCAGTACTATTTTAAAAGTAAAGGGTGCAACAGCACACCCTGATCCCCCCCAAATTACGTCCCTGGACTCAATTTCTTAAATCGTAGGTACATAATGTTTAGGTAATGTAAAAATTACATCCAAATTATTAATTTTTATTCATTATTATTCTACGAACACCCAATGATTAGACAATTCCTAATGGCTATTAAAAAAAAATTATTTTTAATGAGTTTTTGATGATTATTAAACGAGGTAGGTAACTGACTTTACGTATATTCTATCCTTCTCTCATCCTTCGCTTCAAATTTGAAACTTTGTTACTCATTTACATTTATACAAATTATATACTTAACGTACTATACTCGTACTACGTAAATAGGTACGTCAAATATTTGTTTTATTAAAAAACTAGTTAGTAATTACCTATAAATACATACGAAATTCATTAGTACTTACGCCGTGACTGAATTTAGCACTAATCCTATATATACCTAGGACCTAGGTACGTATATATGAATGATAATAATTATCAAACTTATACATTTTTACAGATTAGTATGTTTGTTCCCGAAACTAACGCCGGAGGGAAACCGAATTTTCTGTACCACGACCCGACCATCGTCGGACGATGAAAAATATGACGTCATGCTCTTTTGTCAAGTATCCATTGCTATTTTGGATTTGCAGCTTAAGTCAGAGCCCATGTACGGTAACATTATTCTGTACGACCTGAAGCATATCCGACTAGCTCAATTCATGGCCTTCACGCCCACCTTAACAAAAAACCTGTTGAGATGTTGCATCGTAAGTATATCTGCTGTAACTACATTGGATATTATTATAATAGCCAATATAGTTACCTACGCAAATAATATAGGTATAGATTTTTACCAGAATTTTTTTTTTTTTAATGCACCTACGAAAAATTACTGTTCAAAAAATATAACAGTTGACAATGTGACCTACCTTAATTCCTGAGTGGTTTGGAATTTAGAATATTATATAAAGTTAAAAATATTTTCTATTTAAACTGTCCAAGCAAACATGTGATTCAGCCCAAAATATTTAAATAAAATTATTAACCAAATTCTTATTGCCATCATTATTGAACGATAAGCACTAAGCGCAATTGTATTAAATATTTTTTAATCCTGCATAAAAAAAACACATACCTATTTTAAAGAAAAATAGAATGTTTGATAAAGTAGATTTGATTAGTGTTTAAATGGCTAAATTAGGTACATTTATCTGCATTTATATAATATGTATAACCGATTTTCTCTAAGATTATACATGTAGAAGTGTAATGCCGAGTGAAAATAACGTCAATCATCTTGTAATAAAATAATCTTTATGGGTAACAATATTACCGTATAACGTATAGATATATAATTTATTTATATTATTTATAAATAGAATTATTACCTATTTACAGGATTCATTTCCACTACGAGTGAAAACTGTCCACTACATTAACCCACCCAAGTTCATGAGCCGACTCATCACGTTCTTCAAGCTATTTGTGTCGAATAAAATCAAAGACAGAGTAAGTTTGGCCAACTATCACGGTATATTATTGAAATATCAATGAATAAAAAATGTTACCAAAACATCTAAAATCATCCTAGTGTATTTAAATATATAACCATTCCCACCACGAGTACTTAGTACTTATAGGTTTACAGTTAAACGACTTACGCTGTCAACAGACGAGTTGGCGAACTTAGTTTGCTTATGCCAACTTATCATTAATTATAGGTATATACTTTTCATAAAAACGTCAAAAACTAAAATATTTTTATCGAAATGTCAATTAACCTTAAACTACGATATAATTATCAAATTAAGATCTTAAATTTATGATTTCATACATATCATTGTCTATTTGTTATATAGATATTTGTACACGATTCATTGGAAGATTTGTATCAATACATCCCAAAAGACGTATTGCCAGACATATACGGTGGTACCGGTGGAAATCTCGAAAAATATGAAGGTGAAGTATATCAAATTGGAATATGTACATAAATGACTTAATGTAGTGTTCCTATGTATCTAGCAATATATAGGTTTATAGATCATATAACTATATTATATTGTATATCCATGTAATAGAAGTTCTTATCCATATTTTTATCCTTACAGAGGATATGTTGGAACTTTTGATGGCTAATAAAGAATGGTTAGAAGCACGACCAAAGGCAGATTTGTCAAGACGACCAGAACATACAAAAGCAGATGAATTGGACATGAATGGTACATTCAAAAAATTACAGATTGATTGAATTTCCACTCTAAAATATACTGATTTGGAAAAAATCTGTAGGGATTATTAATATTATTCATAATTTATAATAAATAATTATACAATGATGTCATTAATTTTAATTTTACATAAACAAAAAATCATATTTAAAATAAAATATTTTGAAACATGTGAAATATAAAACTATTGTATAATAATGTATTCAAATAAATATTTAATACTTACATAAAAAAAAAAAAATTGTCTTTTAAAACATAAAATATACTTAAATCAAATTATGGTACAAATAGTAATTTTAAAAGTAAAATTATGTGATATTGTCCATCTTTAATAATTTGGTAATTACTAAACTGATAAGAATAATATTAATTCTATTGCAAAATAAGATAGAATGGGTCTAGAATTGTTCTGTATTTTGTATGCTATTATTATTTATTAGATTCATGAGTATTATGAAATAAGATTAAATAATGGTTGACATTGAGTTAAACACTTATGTTATTAAATTGTTACATGGCAGATTTAAATAAAATGTTTAGTCTATTAATAAATATTAAAAGTGAACACAACAATATTAATTTTTATTTGACAAATAATTTGTCAAAATATTTATTAGTTATCAAAAAAGAAAACAACTATAAAAGTAAATATTTGCAACAAATAAATTATATGTTTATAAAAAAAAAAGGAAATACAATTGCCATGTTTTCTTATTATAATGGAAAGGAACATACATTTAAATATTTAAATATTAAAATATATAGTACAAAAATAATACGTAAAATGTGTTATGCAAAAACAACATGGCAAATATACAATTAGTATACTTTTAATAAGTTTTCAGCAAAAAATACAATAGTGTGCAGCATTCTTCAGAAATGTATACTTAAATTAAGCTTCCATAATTTTCATCTTTTTTATTTGAATTAATTTTTGGTTGCTTATTTTCATTATTTGTTGTTTCATAACTGTTTGATTCACTTTTTCCATTCAATGATTTATTACTGTAAACAAATAAATATTTGAATTAGTGCAGTTGAAAAATATGGAGTAAAAATTGTTTTTTAACATATTCAATAAAGCAGCAAATAAAAAATATTATCCATGTTTCTATATAAATAATTAAATTGTAATACTTAAATAATCTTACATTTTGAAAGGTACATTTCATGTAAAATATAGTAAAACATTAAACAGGACTGCACTCAAATTAAAACATAAAAATGAGAAACCTGAAACTTTTATTATTAAAATAAAACTAAAAATTAACCACTAAAATTTGGATAAAATCTGTTTTAGAATAAGAAGTTTTAAATAGATAATCAAGTGGCATTTTAATTAACACTATTATAACATTTAGAAATGATACTTGAACAAGCCATGTTAAATTTATATATTATATACAATTATTGACATGCTGAACAAATATAAAACATAACATAAGACCAAATATTAGGGATACACTTTGATCAATTAATCATTTTTTATCAATTTATTTGTTTGATAAATTACCTTTCCGTTTCAATATTTTTATTTCTTCTATAAGCAAATCGCCTACGCAACGATGGTGGCGTATCAATGGCAAAAGGACTATACATCTTAGTAGGTGTTCTGCCCAACAAACATTTGGACCGTGTTCTAGGTGTGTTGGGAGTCAGCGGTGACTCATCCAATTTGAAACGACGTCTAGTTGACGGTCGTAATTTCTAAAACAATAAAATTTGTTAGTTTGATCAACCAGTAATATTAATATTAAGGTTCATATAAGATAACCAGAGCAGCATGCACACCATGCGAGTCTCTGGTACTCAATCAATTAATAATAATAAATAAAGATCAAAGACCTAATTGGTATAAAAAACTACATTATTTTAAATAAATGTTAATGAAATATTATAAGTTCCAATAATAATGTCATTCAAATATAAAGCATAAAATTATTATGATAATTGGTATGGAGACGTTTAGACTCTGATATCAAATAAATAATAACTGACTTAGAAAGCTCCACAAAATGCAAAACCAATTGAACTGACATTAGCGGTATATATAATGGTCTATAATTTTAATATTATCCACAAAATATCACAACTTTTTTTTTTTGTGTTTAAGATGAAATTTTATCATAATATAATAATAGTAAGGCTCAAAAATTTATTTTGCATTTCTGTACAAAGCGATTAATTTTTCTATGTTTAAGGCCAGTCATTGACAACTAGGATTAGAAAAAAGATTTTTTTGTTTATTAAATATAACAAAAAATATGTTTGGTTTTTAACTTAAAACACAAACTACAAGAAATACCTACTTAAATTTAATTAAGCTAAATAATTTCTTATATTTATATTTTATAATGTAAATTATTTAAGTACCTATGTAAATTGTAAATGATTGTACAAAAATTGCATAAATTTCAATTGCTGAATCACTTTGTATTACTAGACGTACCTAAACTATTTTTATTTTATTAACAATTATTTTTTTGTGAACCATATTTAATACCGCCAACCCTAGGAATGACATTTAAAACATCACCATTGTATCACTACCCACAACATACCTGTGCGGCCACTTTGAATCCGGTTCTGAGTTTGTTCATCGACCTGAAGACCGAGCTGACGCTACGCCTTAACGTGTCGCGCTTTTTGGTCACTGTATTGACGGCCACCTGCCATACTTGCGAATTGCAGTTCCGCGACCGAGGGCTGTTCCGTACCGACTTCCTAGTCAACGAGTACGGGCACTCTTCGTCGAACCTGTCGCGTATTTGCCTCTGGATGTCGGACTCGACGATGCACTCGGTGAGCGCGCCCGGTTCACAACACTCGCCACTGCCGATGAAACTCAACCGCCGGCGCATCATGACGACAAAAATATGTATCAGTTGATTTCGCAAAAACCTTCTTCGAAAAACACTCGCGTTGAAAAGAATAAAAATTAATCGGAATCACCGAGATTCGTAAACGGACGCGACAAGAAACAAACCAGAGTACCTACAACAGCAGTCAGCACAATAGGTCACGGCAAACCAGTGTGGCAGTGTCGGACTGCGTTAAATGTAATTTGTCAGTTGTTCGTGATCGGTACTTGGTTGTTAATGTTAAAGTGGTTCTTGTACACAATACACTGTAAACGCCCTCAGTAAACAGATATAGGCACAGCGCTCCAGTATGAATAGCGAGTTGTGCGATGGCCGTAAACCGTTAAAATTCAAAACAATCCAATGCGACGTCGTGGGCGTGTGGAACAATGAATAACTATGATCGTGTTTTTATGGTTACCGGCTCCTTATCACTTTACGGACGAAACGAAAACATTCTTATCGTCGTTTGATAACAGTAATGTTTTTAATTTTTATCACCGCAGAGCAATGAATATTGGATAGGTATTATTATTTATTATATTGAAGTGTTTGAAGAGTAAAAGACGTAATTCAGTGACTGTAGAGCAAGAAAAGTGAAATGTAAGAAATTTGCCCAATAGGTACGCTAATTGTAGTTCGATTTTAATCGTTTCGTTTCGAAATTTTTATAATACAATAACACGGCTATCGGCCAAATACCAATTATTGGCCGTCATTATGTTTACTAGAGCGAAGGTCGATAATATTTGTACCTCAAAACGACACATTTGGTATATTTAGTAGACAAACAAGACGAGAGAATCTTGAGACTATGATAACTTAGCTTATCATACATATTGGTAAGTAAATCATCATATTATATGTTACATAACGTATATTATTTTTGTTTATTTTCAATGTTTTTGTGATCATAGTGATCATACTGTAATTGTATCAATTATCTACTTCATATAGTCTTTATGACTACCTAGAAAAAATGATTGATGAATAAAATAAGTTTTAGAATTTTTGAGTTACTTAATTATCGAATGCTATTTGTAGCATAGTTGGTATTTCTAAAAACACATTCCATATTATTAGTATCTTACACGTTATGACTCTAGTATTCTACCAAAACAGCAGCAATTTTATTTATTTGTTTATTTTGAAGTACATATTATTTTATTTATGAAGATAACTGTACAAAAATACTTACTTTACACTGCTGTGACTTTTTTAAACAATTTTTATTATTTAATTGTAACTTAAATATTAATCTTGTCATTCCTACATGGTTAATAACTATTATTCCAATAAGAATACCAATAACTATTATATTATACTTTTTGTATCTACATTAAGAATGTTCCTACTTCTTTAAATATTATTACATAATATAATACTTCATTTTGTTGTAGATAATCTCCTTGGAGGAACATCGATCTGCATTGGAAATCAAGAACAACGTCTATCAAAAACTATATCTTGTTAAAAAAAAGTATAAATTAGGTAAATAAAATAATTTTATTAAATTACTATTACTAAATATATTATACAATATCTGTAAAGAAATAAATAATCCTAAGGTTTGTTCAAGTTTTCAAATTAACAAAATAATTATAATATGATGTATACTTTAATACTTATTGAATATTTTTTAGATTATAATTTTTGTTACATATTTATTTACTAAAAATAAATTTGAACATTATAGAAGAGAAATTTAAATTAACTTACAACAATTATGTTAAGTGAAATCATAAATGTTCCTTAATATCTTGCCTAATATTTCAATTATTAAAGCTAATTTCAATGTGTTACGCAAATAGAGTAGTCAGGAGTATTTTTTTAGTTGTCCAATATTTATTTAAGAAAGTTCTTCATCAAGAAAATGAAAAATACTATGTCCCACTTTAATTATTTACTAAAATAGAATATTTATAAAATACATTAATATCTACTTATTTATAAGAGTGATAAGAAAAAATACACTATTTTGGTTAATGTAGGGAATTGATTTTAATTTTATCTTTTATTGTAGGAATAAAATGACGCTGTTCTACAAAAATCTTGGGATGCCATGTAAATGCATCATATCATCTATGAAAAATGATGATATATTAATCCGAAAATTATCACGGTATGTTACTCAATATCAAACTCATGAGATTATTATTGCAAAAAACAAATTATGGCCAATTCGATGTTTTTCTTCGATTAATGATGACAGCGATAATACAAAAGCAAAACCAGAAGAAAAAGACCCATTGTTGAAAAGTGTTCCAGTTAAAACTGTGTTAGATAAAGTTAGCTTTGAAAAAACTGTTGATAAAGTCCAAAGACCAGAAAAATCTGTTGATAGAAATTATATTACTGCTCGTCGTGCAATGACTGAGTTCATGTTGAAATCAACTGATCTAGAAGGCCTTAAAACTATCAAACGACGATCTCCTTTTGATGATGAGCCCCCAATAAACGTTTATTGGCGAAAAGATGTTGTAGCCAAAGCATCTGAAGTTTGGGGGTCTCAGGAAGGCTTGATAACTCAACTTATCAAAAGAGAAATAGAGAGAAAAAAAAAACAACAAACAATGTTCACAATTAAAGCTCATAGGAGAAATAACCGTCGACAGACTCTGAATAAAAATGATCTCAAAACACAAAAGTCATCAGGACTATTTGGTGACTCTGGTCGTGTTGTCTTGACAGCTGTTTTCATAAACGGTATGAATACAGTTTTTAAAGGTTTGGCTTGGTTTTATACTGGAAGTCACAGCATGTTTTCAGAATGTATACATTCAATGGCTGATACAATTAATCAAGTCATTCTTGCATTTGGTATTTATAAATCGGTACAAATAGCAGATTCGTATCATCCATATGGGTATTCAAACATGAAATATGTTGCTTCTTTAATATCTGGGGTAGGAATCTTCTGTATCGGTTCTGGACTTTCTATTTACCATGGTGTAACAGGTCTTATTCATGCTGAACCATTAGATTCTCTATTTTGGGCATATTTTGTACTTGGAGGCTCATTTATATCTGAAGGAGCAACACTAGCAGTTGCTATAAATAATATTAAAAAATGTTCCAAAGAATCAAATATTTCTTTTTTACAATATGTGTTACGAGGTCATGATCCTACTGTCAATGTTGTATTATTAGAAGATTGTGCTGCTGTATTATCTATTGGAGTTGCTGCTGTATGTATGTCATTAACTTCATATTTAAATACTCCTATACCAGATGCTATTGGATCATTACTAGTTGGTGGTATTTTGGGCACAGTTGCTTCCTTCATTATTTATACAAACACATCAGCTATAGTCGGCCGCTCTATTAGTCTAACATATTTAAATAAAATCAATGCTGAATTGGAATCTGATGTTATGATAAGGGCTATTCATGATGTCAAAGGCATTGATATGGGAAACAGTTTGATTAGATATAAAGCTGAGTTGGATTTCGATGGAAGGGAATTAGCTAAACAATACCTTGATAGACTTGATCCTGAAGCATTGATGGCAGAAGTAAAGGGTATTGAAAATGCAGATTGTGCTGAAGCATTCTTATTGAAACACAGTGAAAATATAATCGATATGTTAGGAGGAGAAATTGATAGAATAGAATGGCAGCTAAGATCGAAATTCCCCGAAATAAGACACTGTGACCTAGAAATACTTTAGACATTTTCTTTGTCTTGTTTAAATAATACATCAAGTTCATAATATCAACTTTTAACTGCTGAAGCTTAGATCAAATAGGTTTTTGCATAACATGGTAAAATTTGACCTTATTCTACATGTTCATTTTGAACTTATTATTTGTTGTTATAATAATTTTAAATGTATGCAATGCAATTTTTTTAGCTTATATTCTATATAAATGTATGCATATATTTTTGTATAAGGTAATGTTTATTACATACTTAATCATTAAGTATGAGAACTGAAAAGAATTTATTAAATTGAAAATGATAAAAATTGATAATTAAAAGAATGATGTTGGAAATTTATGGAATAAATTTGAAGAAATCAAGTCAGTTTCAAAAGAAAAATAATTTTACAAAAAAAACTATTTCTTTAAATTAATATTTTTAGTATTCAACAGCTTCTATAATATGATCGTATATATTGTACTTATTTAGGTTCAATTTTTATCCAAGACCAATTAGGTCTTATTTTGTATCATTCTGCAGCTAATCTGTGATTGCTTGCATAGTTTTAATATTATAAATGTTATCTTTAAACTAAGAAGTTTTATTTTAATTAAAACCTATTATATAATATTATGATGTAAAAAAAAAATTATTATACACAACGTGTTTTTGCCTATTTTATTTACCTATATTAACTTTATTTATTCTAATATTAGACTTAGTTTATACTAAATAATGTTACAAAAAATAAAATACTTAATAGTAGATTAAATTAGTTTTGTCTTATACTATTGAATAAAAATGTATTACTCCATGTCAAATATTAATTTTATTCAGAAAAATATTACCATAAAGAAATTTATGTTCATAAACAGTAAACATTACGGTTTTTTAGTTTAAATATTAAAGTGGTTTACATATTTATTAGATATCATAAAATATCCATATTATTGTATAATTTTCTCTGATATTTTTTAGGATATTTTAATTTTAAAGTAAGCTATGATTATTTTCAATCGTAATACTTTTTATACTTATAACTTGAAAATACAAAGTGTAAAAAATGTTTTATCTCAACATTTTTATGTTAAAAACATAAATTTAATTATATACCATAGTAGTTTCCTTAATTTTTAATAAAATTATAATAAAGAAAAATATTCAAATCTAAAAATTTTCATAACTTACTCAAAAATTAAAATATTGTAAAAACCCCATGTAAAATCACAGATGTTCTTACTTTTAAATTTAATAATAGGTCAATCCATACATTACACAAAATTGTTACTGCAGGTATGGTGTCCTCTAAAAAGTCTAAAGGTTAATAAAATCTCATGTCTTGAAATTAATGTCCGTAAGATAGTATTTATTCAAGGTACCTATCGTAATATTTCGTTGTTTGGTGATATTCATTGGTAGGTACTCAGGCCTAGACTGAGCCACTGTGCTATAGAACTGTAGCACAGTGAGACGCACGCCTCAATTTTGTAATAAGATACTTGAGTTTTTTTAAACAATTAATTAGAAAAAGAAAAAGGCATTTTTTTATGTTGAATCTATGAGCCTATGGACCGCCTGCTTACAGAAAATAGTGGGCTAGTATCCTCCAGGTCCGGGCCTGAAGGTACTCAAGATCACCTTACTATAAGGTATACAATTTCATCTTTTGTATCTCAAAAACAGACTGTACACCACTCATATCTTACAACAATTAACGGGTTAAAAATTCATATTCAAAAATAAGATTTTGCAATCTCCAGAGAGATTATACAAAAGTTACACACAATTTTACTAATTTAAGTAGGTATTTGATTTATTTTAAGATATAATAATTTTAATTTTTAGTGAGTGGTATCTAATATGTAATTTCTGTTGTAAATAGAAAAATGTTATTAATATATTTTAAAACTTCTTTTGAAAGACGAAAGTTATTTCATGTTTTCCCATTTTTTTGTAACACCCTTTTTAACATTTTTAAAAGATAGTCCTGTGAGTTATAATCAATATTTTATTTTTTGTTTTGTAAAAATATTAATGCTAACAAGAAAAATTGATTAATTAAATGGTTCAATAAAATGTAATGGATCAAAATTATGAGCCACCAAATCACGTTTGAAGAATCATTAAGTTTAGTACCTACCATTGATTCATTAAATGTTTAATGATTTTTCATGCGATCCAGCATAAATCTTCCTAACCATTGAAGTTTGTTGTTACATAATTTATTAAGGCCTTATATTTTGCCTGTATCTATTTTAATTACCTCTTAAAAGCAGTAACAATTTTTCGTTGCTTCTTTTATTTTTAACATTTGTTATTATTTGTTACCTACCATAGACTTAACGTATTTACTGCAAAATGGCAAATAATATCATACATTACTACATTAAGTTAAACATTAAAAACAATGCAATACGATAAAATAGATTTTGAAGAATAATCAGTGGTCACTAATAAAAAGAACTTATTTTATCGTTATGATTGTGAGAGTGGTAGAGTCTACTGAGTCTAGGCAAGTAAATTATTTTACACGATCAGAATATTGTTGTTGTATCTAATTAAACTGAAGTTTAGAATATTGATATAACAGTAGATTCTTGAAATTTTCATCAAATATTTATGTAAGAATTTTCTAAACATAATAGGTAATACTTACATTGTTTTTTTTCTACTTGAGCTAAATATTTAAATGAAGACATTTGACTTTTTTTTTTCGATTTATGTTGATAAAATTAATTCTGTTAAGTCAACATTTTTGAAAAGTTAATATAGAGCAAAAGATTAAAAAAAAAATAGCTCATAAATGAGTTACTTACTAAAAAGTTCTGTTGAAGAGTTCTTGTTTTTCCTAGAATTATCGCTATAACACCTACCTAGTACCTATGGTAGGTATTCCATATTTGGTTAGATTGTCTAAATAAAATCCGGGTACAGGAAAAACACTTAAAAAATTAGGTACTACTATAAGTAAGTATAAGGTTATAGCCTGTAGGTTTTAGATACCTACCTACCTAATTAATTTAAATAATATATAATTTAGATAACAATAGATTATTTTACAATATTAAAAAATTAATTAGTAACTCTACTCATAATCATCAGTGGATACCACCTACTGAGTAAGATTATTATAATACATGTATCTATTACAGATGTACCTACCTATCATATTCCTATCATATTTTTAAATAAGATATTTATAATAAGACAAGTAATATGTATAGTAGATATACGTATACCATAGGCACAACTACACCTCTAAAATGTAGGGTGCTATAACTGTTAATGCCTCACAGAACTGTTATAATTTAATATAAATTTATTAATACATCAAAATTAATAAACACATATTAGCACAAGCAGGATGAAATAGCCGATTCAAAAACCTAGTCTTACTCTCTATTCCTTATTCCCTAATCCCTGTCACTGCCACCGCAAGAAGTAGGACTAGGTTATTGAATCGGCTATTTCATTCTACTAGCACACTTCATATTATTATATTAATAATAAAAACAAAATTACAACTCTCTCTTTTTTTTTTTAAATTGAGTAACTTTTTAATTTCATAATCATATTAAATAGATAGGTACCTAATGGCTAATAAAACACTACACATTTAAATCAACATAATTTTTCTGGGTTTCATTTAATATTTAGTTAAAACAATTTCGGTGTTTAGCTGATTTAATAAATCTTTTTCAACGTTTAGTTAAGATAGATTGGTAAACATTTGATTAAGTATACTTGATCTTAACCAGTTTTTTATTCACTGAACTTCGCTTGCAAGTAGCAGAGCTAACAGAAATTGTAATAACAATTTGCAATAAATAATTAGGTATATAAAAAAAAGAAAGGGTACTAAATTTGAACCAGCTATTAAGCATATTTAGGAAAGCAATAAGAAAATGGGCAACAGCCAAAATAGTTATATTCAGTGAAAAGCAAAAATATAGACAAATTTTTAAAAATAATTCAATAATTAAATAAAGAAAGAAAATTACATTTTTCGGTTAGTGTTAAACAAATAATTACTGTAAACCGGGGAAATTAAAATATATCCTACTTTAAATTGTAGCACGTCAATACGCCATACACGTCAAAACATACAAAAACCACGACTGTCAATCCACAAGTCACAACCGTAACAATAGTGCTGATTCTTATTCGATTTTTTTTTTAATTTCGATGATTTATTGATTTTAGTAATCATTTTTGTCCAAGAAAAATTAACAGTATTTTTTAAATTTTTTAATCATTGATTACAAATATTAATTATAATAAAATAATTAAGTATAGGTACCTATATGAAACAAATTCAACAATGTTCAAGGGGCGATCGCTTTACACCCTCTTTGTATACGCCTCAACGTATTACATCGGATTAAATCATAGCTGAGAAATTTTATGTCCCAGAAGAGATTTATATTTTTGGCTTTATAATGAATATTCATAGAAATAATCAATTGATACTATTAAAATAAAATAGAGATTTTCAAAGGCTAACAAATAATTGGATTTTGTTGTTTAAAATATTATAATTTGTATTTTTGTTATTATATTATATTTAATTCTGTAAAAATTTTATAGACAATAAACATGTACATTTAAAAGTATGATTCGAATTTAAATTTCACCTTCTTCCCTTGGAAGATGAGCTGAATACGCCACTGGAACCATTACAGAATTGTAATTATTTTTCGACATGCGTTTCACTATATAAACGAATACAAACACATATTATTATAATTTATATTAGGTACTCAATAATAATCGTCACGAACGTTAAAAAAAAACAAGAAGAATTCACATAATATTATATCTGTAACCATATAATGAAAAATGAGATCCTAGAAAATCCAAATGTTATATAAGGTATAAAATCCATCGTGCACCGTTCAAAAGACTTCGTCCGGCGAACAGTTCCTGTCGCGGTGGTACCTAATCGACACCACCGTCCGGCCTAATCCCCAGGAAATCGTCGCCGATCTGCTTGATGGTCTTGCCCCGGGTGTCCGGCACGATTACCGCGACGAACACGAACGTGAGCAGCGCCAGCACCCCGTACAGAACGAACACGCCCGGGCCCAGCCATATGCGCAAGTACGGGTACGACTTGATTGCGACAAAGTTGAACACGGACGACAAGCACGCGACGATCGATCCGGCCACGCCGGCCACGTCGGTGGGGAACACCTCGCCGAGCATGGCGTACGGTATGGGCCGCAGCCCCAGCCCGTTCATGGCCATGTTCAACAGCACGCAACCGATGACCACCGCGTTGGTGACCAGCTCGTCGCCGCCGCTGTAGCACTGCAGGAACACGGCCAGCAGTAGCATGGACGCGGCGTAGCCGGCGCACGACACGCAGGACAGCTGCTTGAAACCGTACTGGATGAGCAACATGGACAGCACGATCATGGCCGCCAGGTTGGTGAACCCGGCCAGCAGGGTGATCAGGTAACCGTTGACGGTGACGCTGAGGCCGTCGAGCAGCTGAATCATATACGAGGTGAGCACGAACGAACCGCAAGCCTGCTGGAAGAACAGGAACATCGTCATGATCACCATCGGCTTGTAGACGTCCGGCTCGGCCAGCCTGTCCACGATCCGGGACCGCACGCGCACCGCGGCCGCCGAGTCGCCGTCCAGCGACTTGGCCCTGGACGTTTGCAGTATGGGCTGGGCGATGCGCAACACCCGCTGCGAGAACTCGGCGTCCACGCGTCGGCCCTGGACGAACAGCCACGGCGGGCTCTCGGGTATGAGCATGCCGATGAATATGAACGCGGCGAACGACACGAACGCCGCCACGTAAGCGACCACGTAAGCGGGCATCAGCGTGCCCAGCAGATACGTGAGGAACATGCCGAAGTTGAGCATGATGGACGTCATTATCGTGAAGCATCCGCGCAGCCCGGTGTAGTTGACCGTGATGCACTCGGCCGCGTACACCGTGGCCGGGGTCGTGGACAGGCCCACCGACAGGCCCACCAGCAACTGGCCCGCGTACAGCACGTACAGGCCGGCCGGTTTACTGGACAACAGCAGCCAGCCCACAAAGGACGGCAGGTTGATCACCATCAGCGCCGTCTTCCGGCCGAGCTTGTCGATCAGCGGCCCGCTCAACAGGCAACCGATTGGCATCATCGTGGACGGTAGACTGGCTGCACCGGAAATCAAACAAAATCGTGTTATATAGATACTGCACAACGCCAATTATTGTAGGCGATTGCTATTGCATATTCTTGAGTGCATTGTTACATCGTGCAAGTACCTACGGTAAAATTATGTAAAAAATTGTTTAAATAAATACCAAACCAAGATTGTTCATCAACTGTTAATGGCAATTGATCCAACACAATAGCAGAATATCCAAAACTCATGCCCGGCGCCATACATGGCATTGTTACTACAAATGCCAGCCATAACTGAGACAAACGATAAATAATAATTTGTGATCATTAAGAATATTTTATGAAATTAAATAATAGGTAAATATTTTAAGAAAATATTATAATGGGATATTATACATATATAATTATATACTCATACATAATCTTAAAATTGAATAGACTATAATTTAATTCAAAACAAATAGGCACTTAACAGTTAACACAGATAAATGTTGTAATTTGTTTTGATAAACAAAAATCGCAAGGACTAATAGGTACAACACTAATAACATTAAGAATACCAATACCTAAAGATTAATTGGCTAATTGATACCTTCAATAATAAAAATTATACTTAATATGAATAATTATATTAAATAATATAATATAATACGTATAATGTTTATTTAATTTTTATTTTACAAAAATAATTTAATTATATAATCTATAATTGTTTTTATAAGTATATACTAACCACTCTGCTTATTGTACTTTTATACTTAAAATGGTGTGGTTTATTCGAATAATTTGTATAAACATGATTAGTTATTAAATTGGCTTTTTCATTTGACTCCATGTATTTTGATGTTAAATTTTATTTGAAAGAGTTAGAGAAATTTCTGAAAATTTAAAATATTTTTATTAATATTTTTACAAACTATATTACTGCGGGTTAGTACACACAACATATTCATAATACATATATAATAAAAGTATATACAATATACTAATAATTTTAATGTTAGATAAGTTGCTTTCAAAAAGTAATGAAGTTATTTTATTTGTTACTTTTTCGGATGAAATGATTTGTTTACAGTTTTCAGACTTTAAATTTTCTGACACTATGTTTTTTGACCAAATACCATTTTTTAATGATTTTAATAAAAAGCCCAAGTCAGAAATAATCAAGACCTAGTTGTAATGAATAATTTATATTTATAAAATAGACCGAAAACGCGGAAAATTAGTAGTGTTAAGGCGGGGATGATTGTAGCGGTCCGGCGGTTGTTCGATATAAAAAAAATTAGGGATAATCCAAAACCAAAATAAAATTTAAAAATTTGTAAGCTCGAAGAACGCTTAATACATTTTAAAGAAAGTTAACTATATATGTAAAATAGTTTATTTTTTATATTTAATATATATATAAATATGTATACTTTTCAAGTTTAAATAAAATGAAATTATTCTAATTGAGTATGTTGATACACTATAGTATTATACAATACTGTATCCGCTTATAACTTTTATATTATTATTGAAAGATATATAAAATGGTATCTTTATTTTATGCATTTGTATATAAATAAATTATTCTGTTATTTTTATTAAAACGAGGTGAATACTGATTATTTACAAACTAGTTGTTGGCTAACTGGTAAATTACCAATAAAATTATTTTACTTTTTTAACTAGAAAAATAACTTCGTTTTTAAAAGTGTAACAAAAAATATTTCATGAATATATCTATGATTACTTAACAAATAACGCAAGTAGGAATAGTAAAAGATAAGTAAAGGGTAAACAGTAAAGTTAATATATGACAATTATTAATTTTTAAATACTAAAATGTATTAATGCCAATTGGCAATTCTTATATAATGTAATAGATAATTCGTACAAAAATAGAGAATTTACAAATTATGATAATATCAAATAACTAATAAGTATCAATCTGATCTGTATTGCATATTAAAATTTAATACTGAATAATAATTCAGGCCGTACTTGAAATACCGGATTCATTTAATTGTGTACACACAGTGAATATGTTAAATTGACTTCTTCTGTATTTTTTTCCTAGTAGGTGTTTATATTGTACAGTGATATTATACTCATTATAGTAATATAGTAGTTACAATAGTTACAATATATTTTTGCAGAAAATATTGCATTTGTCTTGCACTAGGTGTCTTAGTGTAAATGTATAAAATATAACTATGAAAGTTTCATTCTTCACAAATATTATCAATGTTATAAAAAAATATCAAAATATTTAGGAAATAATATCATGATTAAAAAATGTTAATATATACATTTAGTGAATATTCTAAGTATCTACAGTTATTAAAACCAAATGTTAAAATCTGTTTTACATCAAAACGCTAGTAAATAAACCCTACTTATAATCCCTCACCCCGTCAATGACACACATAAAAATACGGCAATGTAAAATCAATGTATTTGTAATAAAAAAAAAAATAATTAATTAAATATATTACAAATTATGATTTATTTAATGGGCTATTTTCATATATTCCCGATACCATTGGTCAATACTGCGAAAATTTTTAGAGCAAAAATATTAAAGAAAAATAGTAACTCAATACAAATGAAGTAACTGATAATAATTGTACGAATGTTCAAAATGAGCTTAATATGTTTAATATTAAATAGGTACAAATTATTAAATATAGGTAGATATCAGTATAATATATTATATATTATAATACATTACATTGTATACTCGTATATGAATATTATCATTGCTGATTACTGAAATCATACTTATTCTTTTACGCTACGTCGCAACAAATTAACTTTGCATTGACTGATAGATATGTAATTTAGTAAATATTTTTTTTGTGATTGTATAGTATACACTATACGATACTAAATTAGTAATTTTATTATAGGTAATATTTTAAGGTAGTAATATGTTAACAATTATTATTGTTTTATATATCTATATGAAAATTAGTATATACTAATATACACTATAGATACACACAGAAGTAGGTACAGAATCATAATATTCATATTACCTATGTATGAATATCTGTGTTTATCTATAATCTAGATTGAATATTTCCAGATTTTAGAGTCAAATATCAGTACTTAATGAATAAATGATCAACGGGTATTGATTGATTCCAGATAAAACTGTTATAAATAATTACGTTTTGATCAGCCTAATAAATTAGTAAATTTTTTTAATAAAGATAAGTCCTATTGTCTTTATGGAGCTACGAGTTTGATACGTGAATACCTGGGCTGCAATAAAATTGCATGCAAAAAAAAAAAACAAAATTTTATACCATCTCTTATGGTACCCACAAATTTAATTATTAGGTATGCACTTATTTATAAATGACTTAATAACTAAATAATTTATAAAAATTAAAATTCTATAAGCAAAAGATTTTGTATACCAACATTGCCAACAATAAAATAAGTAAAATAATACTTTTCGGAATTTCTAGTGTATCCCGTTAAATATGATAATATAATATTGACCAATGACCATATCTATTATTATTATTATTATATATTATAATATGTTGTATGAGTGTAGGTAAGAGGAAGGAGTTGAGTGTTCCAACACCCCCAAAATTAAAGATAAAACTGAATAAATAATTCATTTTTAATTTTTATATTTCTTAATATTAATAAAGACCTAAACCAAAACTCCCTCCGAAAGTATTTTCTACCTACACCCATGATATACCTATTGTGTATTGAAATAGTGATATTCTATGTCCAAAATTTAAAAAAAAACTCTATCAAATTTTAAAATATTCTTATTTATTTAAAATACCTACCATGTAAAAATGTAAAATACATTCACTTAATTACCTTACACTAATCGTTTTATTTAATTATTAATATTCATAGTGTCGCTTTCTCTGATATTATTTATATATTTTATTTTAATGTAACAAAAGTTCTTTCTTTTAGTGAAAAAGTAAGTTGAATTATTTTATTTAGTAAAATTATACAGGATATGCAATTCGGACTTCCAATTTATGCTTATTTTTTGTCATGCAATTTGGATGTGGGTATAATATACCTATAATATAATCACCTATATTTTCAAAGAAAATTAAAAATTTATAATTTTAAGGATAGGTAATATAAATAAAAATAAAATAAAATATTATTATTGTAATTTATACATAATAAAATTCAGTCATTTCATTATGTCTGCCTTATCTTATGAAAATGTATACGTATATAACGATAATATAAATTCAGATTATGATAATTAAAATGTAATAATTTTTTAATATAAGTAATAATGTATGAACTAGTTACAAGGTACATAGTTCATAACTATTCTATACAATTAATAATGTATATGACTATATATTTATAAATCTATAATATCTCTTACAATTATCAAGTATCTATTGTTCATAAAGTAAACAATTAACTTAAATTATTATTTTTTATATTTATGAAATATAAAGTTAATTTTTCTATATAATTTATTAAAATTAATTAAGATAACAATCAAATAATTAATTATTTTGCTAATATTTCATAGCAGAGAAGTTATCGAAACTGATAAGTATAAAGAGTCAATTAATTAAAAAATATTAAAATAATAATAAATAAAGGTACTTTTTACCTAGAGAATAATTTTTTATCAACAGTTATAGAAAAATACCAAAAAAAAATTGAAAATTTGTCATAATATAGGTATTGAAAATAATAATTTGGAAACTTCAAGTACTTGTCTTATTATTTTTGGAAGTATAACAAAATATTAAAAATTCATCACCGGCTATGTAGAGGTGCATGTAAATTCCCCCAATTACGATCTTTTTAAACTGTTTTTCATGTAAATTCCACCAGTACATTTTAATTTTTATTTAGATATTCGGGATTTACATTTACCTTCTTATATTTGTGATAAATTAATTAGTATTATAGTATAGCCTATAGGTATGATATAAAGTTATTAAACATGCAAAAACAAAAGTAAACAATAATAATAATAAAAACAATAAGTTACAATAGGTAATATGTATATAATTTATGCACAAATTTCTTATTTATACATAGGTAATATATTTAAAGTTTAGTTACTTATATTATTTTTTAAATAAATTTAAAAAAAATATGCAATAATTAATAATATCACTAGTTACTAGTTAGTAATTAGTAGTATAAAAGTTCATTACTATATGCGAATTATCCGATCCCTCAGATCATAATCTACAATTAAATTCTTAGTCTAGTTGGTCCTATCACTTTTATCCTGTAAATTTATTATTTATATCCATTATAACAAAAGCTGGTTTCTTACTTTAAATTATTAATATTTTTAATGATTTATTAATATTATAATTTTTATAAATCTTCTTAAAAATCATAAAATAGGTTTTTGATATACTTGTTTTTTAATAATATGAGATTATTTATGTTTATATGGAAAACCTAGAAACACTCTGTACATATAGTCCACAATGAACAAGGAGCATAGGTTATAGTGTTATGTAATTTTTCGTTAGAATCAATTTCTTTGATTAAAAAAAAATTCTGCTTTTAATGGTTGATATTAATAATGGTAATTTTTGTTTATATTATCTATAGATAACAAGGTAAGTACTAAGTATAGGTATAATAGGCTCTAAACACCTATTATAATAAGGACGCGAATCTCCTTAAAACAATTTTCATATTTAAATAGAAAGTTTACTTTAAACTTCTAACGAAAACTCTAATTTATCATAAATATATTTTACTTGGGTTTAGGTAGTGTTAACTTAAATGGCTAAACATTTAAAATGTGTAGGTACCTGCAAAAATTAGGTAGTAATTACTAATAAAACATTGATTATAATATTATGCTGATCTCTTAGCAATGGAGTTTCAATGTTCAAGTACGATTTGTTACATAATACATTTTATTGTTTAATTAGGAAAATAGCCTTGCAATAATATAATTATAATAAAAAAATAAATAAAATGTTATCACTGAATTTTCATTCACGTGACACGTATAATATGTAACATGATAACAAAACGTGTTGATAGTAATTCAAAAAAATAATAATAATAAAACAGAAAGATTCAATTACAAATTACAATAACAGTCACGATTCGGCAGCTTGACATTTTTGGACATACCTATAGGTACTATATAGATTAAAGACACAGGCACATAATACGTCTTGAGACGTAAATTTACTGTCTTTTATTCTCTTTAACCTAGTTGATGTTTAAGGGTTTATTTATATTTACTTATAAGGGTTACAAATACAGTATATTATTATGAATAAATAATGTAATCTAAACTTTATTTGCCAATGCAGAGTTAGGACATTTATATAATAAACTTAAGCCTGTCGGTGGTGTATGTGCACGAGTGCGCGCAGTTAATATTTTTGTAAATTTATTTAATTTTAATAAAAAATAATATATCTAATACATTGATTATTATAAATTAATAATAATTTATTTCCATAATTTTTACATTTTTTTTTTTTTTATCTCATAACATAAGAGTCCAAATTATAAATTATAACCACACAAGATCCTATTTATTTATTTTTACCAATAATATAACAGATTCGATAATTTTATTACAGTTAAGTTTTAGAATAAGCGTTAAAATAATATTTAGATATTTGTAGCTATATATATCAATAAATATTATGACTCGGTTACCAACTTTATTAACATCGTACCTATATAACTCTTCGCATATACCTATACCGGCTGGCGATTATACAATATGTATTATAATATTTATATTAGCATATTATATGTTGTGTTAACAATACATTCTAAACAGGCACGTAGTCAGAAAATATTCACTAGGTGGGCCAATGTTAGATGGGCCCCCTACCTAAATATATTACCTTGTACCTTGTAAGGGTGGGCCCTCTACCTAACTACCTTTTTATATTATAAAAAGGTAGTTATCAGAATATAATTACTATAAATATATAAGTATATAACCTAAAAATACCATAGTTTATCATTATGCCAATAATAAGTGTAATAAAAAAAAAAAAATTGATAAAATACATAAATAAAAATCAAATACAAATAATACTTTTAATAATTATAATAATTAATAATAATAAAATTCAAATAGGTATTCAATATATAGACATAATCTTTAAATTAAATACAATTAATATAATTTATGTTCTAATATAACAGTATTTTTCTATTTTTATGTTTAATAGAGAATCTATTAACAAAATCATCTAGGTCCAAACTTTTGGCAATTTTTTTTTCTATACAAATACTTGACAAACTGACGAGTCGGTCATTTGACATACAATTTCGCATATAATTTTTTAATCTTCTTAGATATTCCAGAAATGGACATGGATTGAATTTAGTTACGTAACTTATTTTAGATTCTAATTAAAACCCGATATATTTGGTTTTATTTGTGTAATATTTAGACAATATTAAAAATTTAAAAATTTGAAATTTCATTAAAATTAAAAGCCCCTGTATAATAATGGGCCCCTCTGAATACTTTGGGTGGGCCGGCCTACGGCCGGACACATAATAGGGTGGGCCAGGCACACCCTGGCCCCCCCTTAGCTACGTGCCTGATTCTAAATCATTTAATCTTAAAAAATAAAATAAAAAATACGTTGACAAAGTATTTTAAAACATATATTTTGAGTATCTATTTAGTATATTAATATTTATAAAGTTAAAATTTCAGTGAATAGTTACCTTGAAAAATAATTGTCATTACCATTACTAAATGAAAGCCACAACCGTTTTATTTAACATTTACATAAAATAAATTACAACTATAAATAACTAGCACTAATATTCACAACGAGTGTCTACCACAAAGTAGTGTGGACACTACTGACCAGTCACTGATGAGTAGTGAATGCGGAGTGATAACTGTTCCACTTAGTGTGGACCACACGCTGGTACCTAATGCGTTGTATAATAGCACGTGGCGATGGCATCTAAGCAGACAACATAATTTACATATTACACGGTTTTTATTTTGTATAAATTATTTATAAACGAGTGGGGGAATATCTGAGAATGGAGAAATAAAAGTATAAGTACAAAATTGTAGATACTGATAAAACATTAATTATGTTATACTGAAATGGCGGTAAACAGTATTATGTACCTACCTATGTAATAAATAAAATAAAATAATTACAATTTTACATACTATGTTTAAAGTATATATTTAAAGAAACGGCTTACTTAATTATTACATTATAGATAATAATATATAGATCACGTGTAAACTGAGTAGGTAATCAAAAAAATAAAAATAAATAAAAATGATAACATTTATAAGGAAGTGCACAAATAAATTTCTTGAAGATTATAATATCGCTGTAATTGAATTCATTATAATAAAAATCAGTTATACACTTATACGTTAGATACTTTGATTTTATACACGCTTTTTAAATTTTTTAAAATGATTTATTTATTCTTTATCAACAGAGACACCGTAACGACTAATATAAATTATAATAAACGATGCGTGTTTCATATTTTCATACAGTTATAATTATCACCTGTACGGCTTTACGGTTGTAATGTAGTACTTAAAAGTTATGAATAAAAAATTAAAATAATTTCAGATTTTTTATAATACTACGCGTGTCTCCACACTAAAATAAAGGCAGAATAACATTTTAATTTTAAATGAAAATTTTGATTATTTCGTTTTTTTTATATACCTTTAACTATTATTGTGAATCGTATATTACCTTGAAAACACCGTACATTGAACTTGATTGTTATTTTATAGATGTCTGTGCAAAAATTAAAATAATCTAAGTAGGTAAGTCTTAATTCAAATCATAATAATAGTAATCTTGGCCCGCAGGAATAAAAGAAAGTTGAAATTCCGCTCCATTAAAGTACAAAATACCTACCAAATATTTTTTTCTATAGGTACCCAATAAAATTTTATGAAATGAGATTTTTTATTTTTATTATTTAACTAATAAGTTAATGGCAATTAATAATAGTATTATAAAATATATACGGTGCTTTGGTAAAAGTTAGTTAAACTTATAATACTACAAATAAAAAAATAAATCACTAATAGAAATATATAATCATAAATCATAAAATATCTTCAAAATAATATTTTGTATGCAATTATTGAATTTAATATTAATATATAGGTTGTCGATAGATGACTAATTATCATTATTAGGGCAAGAATTTTCATGTATTTACTAATTTTTTTTTGAGAGGACGTGTCACGGAAAAAAATCACCTTAAAAATTCCTTTAAAAACATGTTTGCACGTTCAAATAACATGGGTTACTGAATGGTTTTATCGTAAAAATACCTATAAACAAAATTGTAGGTAAAGGAGAAATAGGTATATTTGGTTCCGTAAAATGTCCGATTTTTGAAATTATAATTTTATATAAATCCTAAAAATAACTGTTTAAAAAAGTATAAATAAACGTTTTTCACTAATCATGTTATATTTAATAAAATTTTAAAGATATCAATAATCGGGTTTCTTGCTGAAGCAGATAAAAATCTACAATTTTGTTCATAGGTGTTTTTACAATAAAACCACTCAGTAGCCCATATTACTTGAACGCGCTAACTATGTTTTATAAAATAACGCATACATTACTAACCGACCCGCTAAAACTACCCTATAAGATTTGTCCACCTCAAGTTGATAAGAGTGAGAAAATCGATATTTTTTAAAAGGTTCTGTAGGAGTTTATCGTAGGTATGCGTTTATTTTTAGGTTATTAGCAGTATTTTCACACGAATATTTTGAATTTTGTTTGACAATTGATTTTATATTTTCAATGAATATGTTGAAATTTTTGATATTTTTAATTAAATTGATGAGGATATTTGGGTTTTTTCAATGATTTTGTCTGTGGTGATTATTTCTATTTTGTCTAGATGGTCATGAGTGAAACGATTTCAGTTACGAACCGATAATTATCTAGTTTTTACTGATTTAATTTTAGGTGAAATATTTAGGCTTAAAGAGTACGAGCGTTTATGACGGACTTGTTTTGGAGATTTTACATAGCTCTATTCGCCTTCAGTGTTTCGCCAATGTCGTGATTATCTGATTGAACTTGTATATTTTATTTGACAATTGTTTATTTATAATTTTGATCGGTGATACACGATTATTATTTTTTTAATTCATATTAGTGTAGAAAACCGCTTATACTTTATCTAGGTCTATGCAGTTTTAACGTTTTGCTTAGCTAGTGAGTAATGAGTTTCAGTTGCAATAAAAATATATTTAATTGAAAAAAAGTAGAGACTATGTTATGTAAGATGGAGAATAATTTATCAGTTATGCACATTATAACAAGTGACACAAGCAAATTATGGTATAATTAACTGCATATTTTTAATTTTTTGATGCAACAGTGCATATTTTTTAGTTCATAAATAATAAAAATTCTTGTTCAAATCATTACTGATTACAGTGATCCTCTCAATTATAAGTTACACTTGAATTTGAAGAAAAAAATTACTTTTTAAAATTATTACTATTATTTACTTTGATTAACCTTAGATCCGAGGACCCACTTCAACATTTTAAGTAACAAAATATGAATTAATCGGTAGTTCAAAATTTAAATACACTATATTTAAACTATTGGCTGATTTTCAATTGGTACATATTCATCTAAAGTAATTTCCAATAATTCAACATTAAAACTTTATTATCTATTGTACTTTTCGTTCATAATTTTTATAAATTGCTAACACCTTTGAAAAATTTTAGTGTACAAATATTTTGATGCGTTCAGTTTCAGTAAAATGACACATAATCATTAAATTTTTTTTTTGTATTTTATATACCTTTAATAATTTAACTATCAATAGTAGTTTCGTACTTTTCTATTTATCAAAAAGGAAATAAGTAAGAAAAGAGTATATATGTAAGTAAGAAGCATGCCTCAACTATTTGATACCAAAATGAAGAACATTATTACATTAATGTAATAAAATACATTTTTTAAATTTTATTTATGATTAAAAAAAAAATACATTTAAATAATTAAAAAAATAACCTAATAGTAAGTTAAATTTATATTAAATATAAGTGTGAATATATATATTATCATTTAAATTTACTGATTGGCAAACATTTAGAACTTATTGTTTTACATGCCATTATTTTCATAAAAAATGTTTCACATTTAGTTTAGCTTTTTAAAATTTGATAGGTATGGTTGACAATATTTTTTATTTCAGTATTGAGTAGACATAATTTTGAAAATTTCTCAAAACATTTATCTATACCCCAATGACGTAGTTGAAGACGAGCTTTTTGATTGTTGCACGCAATTGACCATATGGCTAAGCTAATATCTTTATAATTTTGGTCTGTGAGGTTTTCATTTTCTAACAAGGTTTTTATTCCATTTAAAAACACATCTAGGTAAGACAATAAAAAAATTTAGATCAATTGATTTCATATTATAAATTTTTTTTTTGTTTACCTGATGACAAAATAACTACACGGTTTTGTCCATTAAAACACAAGTTTCTCAATATGGTTAAAGAATCATTTACATAATTCGATTTTAAGAGATCTACTAAAGTATCCAAAGCATAATCCACCTATAAAAATATTTATGTAAAATTAAAAAAAAACATATTATTTTTAAATATTACATTGAAAAATCATTTGTTTTTCACCTTTAAAAGATGTATTTGTCCTTCATTGTAACTAGTTAAAACTAGTAAAAACTTTAAACATTGTTGTTCAATTTTAATCGGACGTTTTTTGTCTTTTAAATTAAGAGCCAACACAATGCTTGACAATAGTTTACTCTGGAAAAAAAATATAAAAGATTTATAATAAATAATATATTATTATAAATTAATTTTATACTTTTGTAATTGTTACACGGCATTCTTGAGCTTGACAACAGTTTAATATTAACATCAGCGTTATATTCAAAACATCTTCATTCAAATGAAAATTAGTGGATAGTGAAATTATTTCATGAAACAATGAATATGAAGTACATTTTGTTTTTGGATCTACTCCTAATGTACTACTAGTCTTTGTCATTGCACTGCATGCTATATCATAAATGTATACATTCAATTATAAGTTATAAATTATAGTATATATTTTCATATGCATATTTTTAAGAAAAAGAACTATATTACATTTCTGAAATTTAAATTAGAATCTAATTGTCAAAAATGCAATGCAAACACTAAATAATTGTTTCATATTTTCATTAAATTATTTATAAATATTTTATTGTTATGTGTATATATATATATATATATTTTTTTTTTTTTTGAACGATAAATGATAACATTCGTTTTTAATTTCATATTCTGAAGCAGAATATTATCAGAAGTATTTCGATATATAAAAATTGAAACTAAGGCAAATAGCTTATGAGTTATAAGTATATAAAGTTTTTTTTTTTTTTATTTATTTGAAGTAATCAACAATCTATACATTTTCTTAGTATAATAAGTAGGTTTGATAGGTGAAAAGTAAGAATAATATGAATAATTAGATTAGGGAAGATACCCAGTGGTAACACCCTATAAGTGACAGGAATAACAATGAGAGAGAGAGAAATAAAAAAAAAAAATGACAATAATAAATAAATAGATAATTAAGTATATAAAATTAGGTGAACAAAGTGGAGTGGTAAAAGAACACCCACAAAATGTTGGTATACTACTCAGCTCTCCAATCTTTAAATATTTATAACTTATGTCTTATAGATTACTTATTTTAATTTCAATTTTTAAACATAAAAATACCCTGAAAAAAATTCTGCTTTAGAATATGAAATTAAAAATGTACAATGCCATTTAAAAAAGTAAAAAAATATTTCCAAAAAACACAATTTATTTTGAAATAGTGTGTATTTGATAAAAAGAATCACTATATTATTTAATTAATTTTATTACTTAATAATGTTCTAGTGAACTTTAAAAAA